GAGGGAAAGAGAAGGGCAGGGGGAAAAAGAGTTGTTAAGTGTTGTGGAGAAGTATGTTGCTAGTGAGGATGGGAAGGAGAATGAGGAGATGAAGGCGATTGGGGGTGGGGCTCAGGATTTTGCGAAGAAGTGGGATAAGAAGGAGAAGGGGAAGGAGAATGAGGGGCATGGGAGTAAAGAAGGCGGTGGGCTGAAGTTATCAGATGATGCGCAGAAGAAAGCAGACGAGTATGGTCAGGGCCCTCATGGTCCTATACTGAGAAAACCGATGCTGGGCGAGAGGGGACATGGACCTGTTGTTCACGGACGTTGATACAGAGTCAGGTGTACATATTGAACGGGTGTAGGGAGTGCAGCATCAACGAGTCTTACTATAGCGATTACGAATACCTTTAGCTTCATCTTCGTTGGTATACGCTATCATTGGGCTGAGGGGTAGATTATAGTACAGAAAGCACAGTTGGAACTTGAAGGATTGCATGGTTATCTACTGTACATGAGAGGTCCCTCCTCTTATACTCGTTGGCTTGGATCGTACATGGCATCTGACCAAGGGTTGCTGGTAGTCCTGTGCACACGCACAATACGGTATGCAAGTCCTTGAATAATAGAACTGACCTCGCTATCCTCGTCATCCCAGTTCTTTCAAAGTAGTGTCCCGTTTATCATGTAATTGGAAATATGTGTCATCATGCATTTAGATTTGTCCGCTATCGTGCATTTAGAAATACCCGCTCAGCCAATCCAATATACCGCTTTTGTGATCCTTTGATCCCCTTCCCAACTCTCCCTTCGTCCTTCCTGCTACAAGAGATCGATCAGATCAGCTCCTTGATGCTCCTTCGCACCGTTCTTTGCATGTTTCTCAGGCGAAGCAACACCAACGCCAGCAGGATCATAGTTGGCAAGCACAACCTCCCCGTTATGCATCAACGGCGTATACCCTCTCAGCTCAGCTGCAAGAGTCATCCTTTGCACCGGTACCGGCGAAGGCGGCGGCGAAAGAGTCGTCGAAATCATTGTACCGTATCCACTGCTCTCCTCCTCTTCCTTGCTTGCCACCCTGCTCACCTCAACCTTGGAAGCAGCTTCCATCCTCCCAACCCTAAGACCCACACTGAACAAATTCTCCTCGCCCATCGGATCCAGAAGACCCTGTACCTCAGCACTAGCCCCCTTGCGTAGAGAACTCAGTGCAGCCTGTGCCTGGAAACAAGCTCGGTAGCCCTCGAGATACGCCCTTTCCTTCTCTTCCCTAGCCCGCTCTTTGCGTCCCTCGTCCTTGCCGGCATCGAAACCGCGCTGAAAACGGACCTCGGCTAGGGACTCTGCTTCGGCGTTGGACATGTAGTTTGCGGCGATTTCGGCTTCGATGGACTGGCGGACGAGGGTCTTGTACTGTTGCTCGCGTTTGTGCTGGGCGGCGGCGTGGAGGGTGAGGGTTTGGCGCTCCATAGCCATGCGGGACTCGAGGGCTGCGATGTGGGCTTGCTTGTCGAGTTCCATTTGCTGGTGGAGGTGGGCGTAGTGGGCGGCGGACATGGAAGTGGAAGTGTCCTGGTCGAGCTTGGTCATGAGGTGCTTTTGACCGGCGGCGAGGAAGGTTTCTTGCTGGGATATTTTCTTCTCTCGCATGTCGAGGGAGCGTTGGTGGGTGGCTGCACGGGATTGGAGGGCAAGGGCTTCGGTTTGCTCGCGGAGGAGCGTGGCGAGCATGCTTGAGAAGGCAGCTTCGAGATGCTCGTGCTGGGCGTCTTGGATGGTCTTGCGGAGGTTGGCATTCTTGGTGCGCTCTTGATCGAGCTCTTGTCTCGTTTTGAGGATCTGCGCGTTGAGTCGGACCATTTGCTCGGATGGGATGTTGTCGCCGCGAGAGCCGTGGTGGGTGTTGTTGTAGCGTAGGTTGTTGTGGAAGCGAGGGACATTGTTTGACGGTATTATCTGCTGGATTCAGTAAATCATAGTGTAAGTGAAAGATGAAGATGATAACTCACTCTGGAACTCATGGTCTCAGCACGCCGAGCAAATGAGGACGGAAAGTCAGGACGCATATGCGGTGGTACGCTGTAGCCTGACTTGGACGTCCCTATCGTCTCATGAGTGGCCCTTGGTTGCATTTGATGATCGATATCTTCATCGTTGGTGATTGGAACCTCTTCCTTGATCTCATGCTCTAGTACAGGTGATGGCTGTGGTACCTTTCTGGGCGATTCGGACTTTGCGGTAGCGCTTGCTACGGCGGTCTTTTTGACTTGATCGCTCTGGTCTCTGGTCTTGCCATCATCTCTGTTCTCGGTGCCATCTAGGGCCTTCTCAGAGCACTGTTCTTCGCTGGAATCGATCGCAGTCGTCTCGATCTCTGTCAGTGACTTGGATGAAGTGGATGGTGATGCCAGAACGCTGGCGTCGACATCGCCCAAGTCCTTCATACCAGATCCGTCAACATCATTCCCATCACTACTCACTCCGACTTCTTGAAAGGCTGAGGGAGGGGGAGGAGATTTCTCCAAATCTGGAGTGTGTTCATCGCTGGGAGACCTACCGTAGATGTGCTTTCCGTAGCTGTGGAAGCAGTGGTCTCGTCATACGCATCGACGCTGGAATCAGTGGTTCCGTTGGAAGCAGCCGTCTTGGAAACAATGGAAGGAGTCATATTGAGGACGTAGGCGAGAATCTTCTGTTATAAGAAATGTGACAAGTATGAGAAGTATAAGTAGTGTGGGAAGTGTGAAGGCTGTTGGGGGGAGTTTTGGAAGCTTATATAGAAACCGGTAACCAAGCGTAAGGTAAGGTGAATGAGAGATAGTAAAGGCAACAACAAATGACCTTGAATAAAGCGGTGATTTGCAAGTGATGGGCTCTCCTCGGATACAAGAGTGTACAAGGTAAATAGAAGTGAGCTAAGATATAAGTACAAGGCGCATTCACCGCGAGTAAGCGAAAGAAAACAAAAGTGTCGGAACTGAACATGAATACTGATAGAGGCGCAAGAACATGGGTGAAAGCCGCAACTAGACTTGCATCCTATTGTGCAAGTGAGGGGAGTGTGTATATAGTGGACAATAGAAGTAAGACAATGGTAAAGTTAATTTATGTTGGGATCAAGCATGTGATACGAATAACTTGCAAATATTCAGCAGCGTCGTGTAATTAGAGACGTTGGCTCAGGTATACTTGTAAAAGCAGTAAAATTTTCTTTCGGTGGGAAGACAGCATTTTATGGCGGGTGTGATTGCTATCTGTTAATCATACCACCACATAGCAGTTACATGACGCGACGCCAGACCGGCCACTACATAGTCTTGCATGCAGGATGCTGTCCACATGTGATGCAAGTCCCGTCTTTTTGCCAATCATCAAAACTCAGTGATCAGTGATGACTTCAAAACGGACTCCAGCTTGCTCAAAAGTATCCATAATCCGCCCTGCTCCACAGATATCGCCGTTTCCTATAACAGTGATTTCTGACAAGTTTGGTAAAGATGTCTTGCAGGCCTCAAATAAATTCCATAGATCCTCCTCATCATCCAAGGTTGCTGGAATTTCATCCTCCATATCGAAAACCTCGACAAACAAGTTCAATCGCTTGAGACTGAATGGCATTATTTCGGCGATTTTGGATGGAGTCATTGGCCAATACTCCCTGTGGCCAACCTCAAATGCAGTCAAAAAGTACATTTGAGATATTGTCAGTGTATGCAAATGCTCGAACTGCCCCAGCGAACCAATGCGCCCAGGTTCTTCCTTGGCCCCAGTACCGTATCGGACTTCACGAAAATCTAAGCAAAGTGTTTCCAATGTATGGGAGTGTTTCAGTAAACCCGGCCTGAAGTCAGCTATTGTTTGTTGGAGGCAGTCGAGGTATTCCCATGAGCGAACGATGTGTCGGAGCCCTTCGCATGCTAATAAAATCATTGCCATTGGCCGAAAGTCCATAAGGCATTCGGTCAGTTCGAGGTGTTGCAGATTCCTGAACTGACCAAAATTCACTTTTGGTTTAATGAGTTCTTTCACCATAACCCTGGTAGCTCGAACATCAGAGAGCGACGGCACAGATGCCATTGCGGAACAAATACTGTCAAAAAGTGATTCTCTGGCCTCCCCATCTTCTTCTCCGAAATTAGTCTGGATACATAAGGTCTTCAGCCGACTAAGACCGTGGTCGGCAAGTAATGTGAAGCGGGGAGTCCCTTTGTACTTCTCATGTATGACGTGTTTCCAAAAAGAGACTTTGCCAGTCTCCGTGCTAGTCACATTAATATGCTGCAAGTTCGGGGCAGAATTGACGACGCCAGCTAGTAAAGAAAAGTATTCCTTTATCATGGACAAGTCTTGAGGATTGTTCAGGGTTGCTACCATATCGTTGCCTTTACTGTCGGTGAATCGGTTTTCTACATACCGGAGATACCTAGCATATGTGTGATCTTTACCGAGGGAGTGCCTTGGTGCTGTTATTTCATAGTGGAAGCGTCTAAGAGACCAGATGCCGAACCATGTCGAGGATCCCGTAAATGCGGCATAGAGAGCAGGGACAGCAAGACGATTTAGATGGCGAGAAGTGCGGCAAAGATTGGATAGTGATAGCTGACGTAGGCGATTTTCCCGTTGGCGTGCCTTCTCTTTCTCTCTCTTGTCATAAATTGTCGAACACGTTTCAAAGGAGCGGATGGTGCTGAGGTGGAGCAGAATCTCCAAGAGAAGCTCATCCGGGATGCCTTCAAGTGATGCATTTTCGGGTTCCATGACCGGAAATTTTTGTTTAGGACAGTATATCGTGTGTGTTTCCGGTAGTTGGTGTCGAGCTAGTTATGGTAAGAGTCACGGTTCGAGGCTAGACAGGGGACTAATCAAGGAGCTAGTCTGTGAAAGGAAAAATGAATAGAATTAACGCCGGTATCGCCGAGACAGATGCGAAAAGAATCTACAAGAGAACAAGGAGACTATTTTACATTCATCTGGGTATATCATATTGGCTCACCACGAGCTATCGGGAAACAACATTAGACTATCCGCTTTGTCTTCCCCGTCTCCACGTCGTATATCCAGCCACTGAAACGAATGTTTTCCTCTACTGCTTTGATGCGCAGCCATTGTACATCCTTCTTGACCTGGATCTCCAGGTTGTGGAAGGGCTGAAAGTCCATGTGCTCCACTTCTCTTGCGGCTACCTCTCCCCTCTTCTTGGAAATGATGGCTTTGGCAGTGGGGTTGTCGAATGTGAGCATGCCGCATCCGGTATGCTTGACAATCATCACTTCCCTTGTGCCGAGCAGTTGTTGTGAGATGATGATGGATCGAAAGGCGTCGCGTACAGAAGCGCCTGCGTTGCGGATGACATGGGCGGCTCCGAGTGGTATTCCGAATGCCCTTGTTGGGTCTATTCGTGCATCCATGCAGGTAACTGTCGGTCTAGGTTAGCAATTGCTCGCAACGCCTGGACATGGACGAGAACTCACCAATGGTGTATCTCTGGCTAGGTGGGAGGGCTAGATGGCCCTGGTTGAAGGTGGCAGCGTAAGCATCGCTTCCGTGCTCCATATTTCGCTCTCCGTGGGACGGCATTGTTGTAGTAATGGGAGGGATATCAGTTATGACTGGTTTTGACCTAATCTGATGCCTAAGTCTGGGTCTTTATATGCTCATATGCAATCGGGTCAGCAAGACGGTAGCCGTTGGTGCTCAACGACCATTGCGACATTGTGAGGGGGGATTGCGCCAAGGCGGTAATGTGATACATTTGGGGTGAATACGCGCACAACGTGCGACAGAGTCTACGGCAACTATGCGTCTCTGACAGGAGAATAAGCATAACCAGACTGACAGTTGAAGGTGCCCGAGTTTCATCTGGCCAGGGGCCTTAGGCAGATCGCGGTCGCAACGCCTCGAAAGCAGGGCCGTGCTTCTAGCGCGTGGCACCCATGCCAATCCTCCCGTTCCTCCATCCTGCCATAAAGCACTCGAGGCATCACCGTGTCGCAAGAATATATGCAATTTCCGGACCGACCCAACCCAACATATTGCTAGTGCGCCCAAGCTGCACTGTGCCTGAAGAGGGGCATCTTGGTGTCTCGCTCTTTTGACACATCGACAGCCGCACAATGGACCCGGCCGAGAAAGCCACACCGCGTCTTATCAGCCAACTCTCGTATCACATCGGGAAATCAAGCACGCCCCCATACTCGCCCCACGTGCCTAGTTCTTCCGAACTAGGCCCTACCCAGCTCAACGTCAACCACCAGCTCAACGTCAATTTTGCTACCCCCCACCACTTTGACTCAATTTTTCTCCACAACAATATGTCGCAACGCTTTGGGACTTACGC